CACACACACACACACACACACACACACACACACACACACACACACACACTCGCACCTGCTTTCATTCCAATGAAACAATAACACTGATTGCTGTTGTTGTGACGACTGAAGTGATAGAATAATCAATGTGAGTGTTTGTCGCTTCCTGCTGCCGGTGTGAGTGTACAAGTGCATTACTACTGCAGTAAGAAAAAGGGCCAGGATCTGTTTGTTTGTGTGTGTGTGTGTTTGTGTGTGTGTGTGTGTGTTGATGAATTGAGTCATTTAGTAAAGTGTGTGCTGATTAATCCAGGCAGAGTGGTAATACAGGAGATGGGAGCAGATTAAATGCTCTACATTAACACATATTGCTCTCCTTTAAACACTCGGAGTGGAAAAATGTGTTTTTGTTCGTTTCTGCTGGAAACTCACGGTTGGCCAGTAGCTGCTGCTGCTGCTGCTGCTGCTGCTGGAGCTGCTGTTGATTGACAGCTCCTAAGGTGGGCCCCCTCCCGGGACCTCCCGCCGCACCACCTCCTCCCCCTCCTCCTCCCACTGCCGGTGCTCCTCCACCTCCTCCCGGTCCTCCGCTGTGGGCTCCAGCAGGGGGGCTGGTCAGACGCTCTTTATCCCAGGAACACTCGCTCCCTCCTGGGCAGAGGGGCAGATATTTATACTCCGTCAGTGATCAACTCTGAGTCTGGTGTCAGGAAACACCTGGCTGACCAGGTGTTGTCTTCTTCACAAACAGTTGGATCGGTTTGAGATCAGAAAAGAAACAGTTTACGAGCTGATGCTTCGTTTCTGAGAGGAAGAGGAGGATGAAAAAAAGTGCTACAGGTGCATCAGAACAAGAACAAACAGATTCAAGAACAGCTTTTTTCTGAAAGCATCACCTTACTGAACTCTCACAATCAGCTAGAAACTCACTCACTGTGGAATACATACATACTGTGGAATACATACATACTGTGGAATACATACATACTGTGGAATACATACATACTGTAGAATACACACATACTGTAGAATACATTCATACTGTGGAATACATTCATAATGTGGAATACACACATACTGTGGAATACATTCATACTGTGGAATACATTCATACTGTGGAATACATACATACTGTGGAATACATTCATACTGTGGAATACATACATACT